AGCCAATCATAGGGCCCATCTTAGGGGAGTATAAATAAAGGCTCCTAGAGGGTAGGAGACTCAGTCACACACTTGCTCTAGCTGGGGAGCAGGAGGGACCTGGCTGACAGGGAAGCTGGAGGCTTCCTGAGACAGGGCAGCACTGGGGAAAGGCAGGCAGAGCTGGGGAAGCTCTGGCCAAGTCTCACTCTCAGGCTGCAGGCCTGGTGCAAAGCCTAAGTGTACTAGGGCTGTATGGAAACAACCAGGCTAGAAAGCAACAGATTGGGAAGGGAGTGTGGACTTGCTGAGTGGCCATTTCAGACGGCAGTTTGCTCCTGAGGTGGGGGCTAGATGATGACTGGCAGTGGGTCACTGAGGCAAGGTCGGTGTAGGGGAAGTGGGGATCCCAGACTGGGAGAGCGCTGTGATAGGGCAGTGCCCAAAGGTGAAGGAAAATAGGTCACTGTGGGTGAGACACTGGCAGAAGGGGGGCGCTCCTGGGCTGAATGAGCTAATTCCCGAGTGACCAGCAAGAGGCACCCGTGGCAGTGAGGCGCATCCGGTTACACCCATTCAGCTTTACTTTAGACAGTCACGGGTCAAACCGAAGACAGAGACTGCCCATCACTACAGTTCTGTCATTCAACTGCCATGACCCCCTCAGCAAGTCCTATCACCTGAGTCCAGCTCTAGAATGGCAACAACACCAGCTCACCTTCCAGCCATGTGAGGAGGACCAACATCCAGAGCACTTTAGCCATGTAAATCCTGAGGCCTTTATTTTGGTCTCCTCGCAGGTGCACCTGGCTGCCATTATCAGCTCTCCTCTGACAGTCTAAATATCAGCTTGCACAGACGTGTGCTACTTAGGGCTTGGGCTTCCAGAGAAGCACCTACTCAGCTTGTGGGACAAGGCCATGTGCAAAGTTCTGCCTGTCTCCCAGCACCACAAGGGGCACCTGGTTCAGAAAGACCCATTCTGCCCTACTGGCCCGAGAGCAAAGTGCCATCACAGTCATCAGCAAATTACAGGGACAAGAAAGAGAAATGGGCACATTGAGTAGAGTATTAATGCAGCGGGTAGGGGAAAAAAAAAATCACTTCTCATGCTTCAGAGACTGTCCCTCACTCTACCTGCTCCAAGCAGAGCTGGTGCCTCTGAAATCAGAGTATTGAACAATGCCAGGAGCTAAAGCACAAATCAGTAGCTATTCGAGTCACATGGAGCGCCAGATGGAAAAGGGCATTTAGCCCCAAAAAGCCCACTTAGGAAGGCTTAATTTCCTATGGAGGGTCTCCATCACTGAGTTAACAAGAAATGAATTCAAGAACTCTTCTAAGGCAGGTGGCGGGGGAAAGGATGCTCCACCCTCTTCATGTGCCCATCATGAAAGCTACCAAGCCATGGGAGCTAAGTTCATCAAAAGCCATGCAGACCCAGGCAACAAACTACACCCAGGTCATGCCTACCGATTTGGATGCGATGATGGCAACATAAACTGGAACTCTACCACACAGGTGCGATCGGAGAGCTGACGGTGCTGCAAGCTGTTCAGTTTGTAGGCTATATAACCTCTCCTCACGAGAATGAAAGCTACCAAGCCATGGGAGCTAAGTTCATCAAAAGCCATGCAGACCCAGGCAACAAACTACACCCAGGTCATGCCTACCGATTTGGATGCGATGATGGCAACATAAACTGGAACTCTACCACACAGGTGCGATCGGAGAGCTGACGGTGCTGCAAGCTGTTCAGTTTGTAGGCTATATAACCTCTCCTCACGTACACCTGAGGAAAGGGGAGGGAGAAGAATTTAATTTGCAATAAGAGTGCTTCCCTACGGGCCAACCACCAAAGGAAACAGCAACCTTGATGGGCAAGCACAGCCTCTCTCACTGGGACTAAAAGCAGTTCCTGCTCTGAGAGCTGCATCTCTTCTAAATAAATGGGAGTCTTTCATTCACTCTTTACCTCCAGAGAGGCCATGCGCACCAGCTGGTTGGAATGGTAGAAGAAGGTGGGGAGCACATCGAAGATGGTGGTTTCTGAAAGGATCAGTTTCTGTCATGAGGAAAACAGAATTCAGCGTGAGAAGGTTTGCACGACAGAGTTGGCGTACAAGACGAAGACGAGATCCAAGTTTCACATAGCTGCAGTGACTCTGATCCCAAAGTTCCCTCATTAGCTTTTGTTAGGTTAGCCTGAAGTTCATGTGGAGAGTTTGAAATCATCCAACGGCACATCTGGAATACCCATCACCACAGCTCTCAAATACTAGCATATGGACACTAAGAGAACAGAATCCTCTAGTCACTTCCTACTGCTTCTGAGGAGAGCGACACTCTGCTATAGGCCTTTGTCTGGAAGAGATCAGAAAGTAACATCTGATCTAAGCTTAAGCTGCAAGACACCAATTCTTTTAAGACCTTTTGAAATAAATGACTTACAAACCAAACTGCTTCAACTAAGACCTAACTAGAAGTTAAAATCCCACGTTTTATAATTAATTTTTGGCAGTAGTCCCAACCTTTAGGTTTTCAGGGCAGAACTGGTGGTCATACAGGTTGATTGCAGACAGGAATATGGACTCCACCTGGTTGTATCTCAATTCATAAGAAGGGAGGTGAGAAGCAATCAAAACCTATAAATAAAAGACTCTTAAGTGAATGGCTGGGATTTAGAGGTAAAAGGGGAAGGTTGGGGGAAGTCACAATGATTCAGTTAACAGGGGTCAGACTACAAAAACATGCTAACCTGTCTGGCTCGCAAAGCCACTTTGGAGTGCTCCGTTTTACTGAGCTGTGTTAGCTCATTGAGAATGGCCATCAGCTCCTCCGTCAGAGTGGAGTCTCGACCACACAGCTGATCCTATTAAAATACAGATCTCCTTCCAGTGTGAAGGACTAATCCTTATTGAACAGAAACTCCATCTACAATCCTTACTTTCTCTTCTAACGTACTCACTCTGATCCAGTTTTTGTTCTTCATAGACTCAATGGCCAGAAAGGACCACTGATCATTCTGGTTTGATCTCCTTTATAAACACTGACCAGAAAACCTCTCCTTTTCTTAAAGGTCAGTACAGAAAAGGGAAGATAATGTAATCAATGCTCCACCAAGGAAGAAGCCACTATCAACAATTTTGGAGGATACCGTCGAAAAAGTTAAAAGCAAATATTGTGACGTCTGAAAACCAAATTTGTTTTAAAACAGGTAAGACCAAAACAATCCCCCCCAAAGAAAAAAGCCACTATCAACAATTTTGGAGGATACCGTCGAAAAAGTTAAAAGCAAATATTGTGACGTCTGAAAACCAAATTTGTTTTAAAACAGGTAAGACCAAATTATTTCTTCAAAACATCTGCAAAAGTTTAATTGTTACAACAAAATAAGAGAAGGGCAAAACAATGCAATAGGCTACCCAAGAGAGTTCTAAACTAAACCTGCCTAAGTTTCCCCATTAGCAAAGCAGATTTAATAAGGCAGCTTAACTGATGTTATTAAAGCATTCCACAGACGTTCTACATCGGATGCTCTGAACCGGTATTAAGAATTATTAACGTGCTGAAAGAATAACTGATGCAGGAGACACTCAGCATGTACATGTTGTGTATCAGTTCATGGTATTTGCTTTAATTTTTCCCTTTCACAGATTGCAACAATACCTCAAATCAACCCTCTTATTATAGGGAAGATTCCCAGATTGCTAATTTTTCAAGCTCTCTCAGTAGCAGTTTGAGCTTTTCTCTTATAAACACTGCAGTGGAGCCCTTCTATTACTGAGTCACCAGCAAGCCGCTAGGCAAAACCTAAGATTATAGACCTCTTCATTTCCTCACATCCTTATTTCCTTATATTCAGTATTCGCCTTCCAGGTCAGCTGTAACACTCTACACTGCATCTCAACAGCTGTTTCTGACCCAACTTAAATATCCACCCTCGCTGTATAGAGGTTGCCGTCCCTACTTACAATTAACATGATCACCAGTAGATTCTTTTTTGCCACCTGGGCATGCGAGAAGATGCACTCGAGCGCCGGGGTCATGTCTGATTTGTACTGCTCCCTCAGGTTTATCACACATTTGTCATAGTGGGCTGGGGAGACAGCACACATCCTCAGTTAGATTTGCTCCCTTGGGCCTGCAGAACAGCACTAGGCCCTGAGCAAAATACACTACCACTTCCGCGGACCTTGCTGGAACTGGGTTTCCACTTGCAAATATCTTCGAAGCAAGTCTAAGACTATGGATTTCATGTAGCCCCGAATGCCACTGCGGTACCTGGCAACAGGAGAGAGGACAGAGTGTGCCACATCCCAGAGCTAATGTGTGCCCCCACATTGGCTATGCTGCTTTTGCTGGGACTCCAGCATAGATAGAGGCAGTCAGGGTGAATCCTCCTCACTTGGGGCAGGCAAATGACTTGAGACAAGGGCCCTTGGGGCATGAGCCAGGAAGCAGCACTCACCAGATGCTCTGCTTGTTCAGGACAGAGAAGGGCGCAGCATCACTGCCAGCCTTCTCACAGGAGCCCATCCTGCTGTCACCTACACCAGCATTGGCCCCATTAGCCCTGCTGCTCTGCACCTGCTCCACCTGCCTGGGAGTCAGGGCCAGCACTAGTTTCAACAAGAGGACTTCATAGCACCTCTGGAAACCTCCCACACCATTCGGTGTGCTGCAGCACAGGAAGACATTCACCTCTGGACTAGCTGCATAATGCTCTGTGTGTTCATAAAGAAGACTTCCCGGTCTGCCTTCCTCTGCAGACTGGCTGCATGGCTGTCCAGTATGCTGGCAATCTGCAGAGCAGAGGGAACACAAGAGTGAAAAGTAGTTTGGGTGCAACAGTCTGGAAGACCAAGGGGATGTGACTCACAGGCACCCTATGCACTCTGACTTTTTAAGAGACTCTGGCTGGATTTTCAAAGAAACCCAAGCATCTAACTGTTCTTCTTCCCTGAAAATCCCAGCCTATGAGCAACAGTACATCACTTTCATTTTCCCAAATATCAGGGACAGGCGCTGCAATGACTCAGTCACAGGAGTTGACCCAAATTCATGTAAGCAGTTCACTCAGTTTCAATAGTTACACTATTCATAGTAAGTATTTGCATGACTGATCCTGTGTCCTTATTATTGCAATTCTGGGGCACTACAAGATAGAGAGGTCACTGGTTACCCATTAAACAGCGGTCTGGCCAGGCTAGAGTAGCCCCACCCAAGGGAGACTGTTTAAACGGTTGACCATTTAAACAATGTTTAACTAGTTAACAGATTAAAAACAGAATTTTACATGCCTTCTACAAGGCTGTAGAAATCTCTCCATAAACTGGAAACATTAAATTCCAACCCCACAAAAGAGGAAGGGCAACAAGCATTAGAAGGAAAAGAAAAACCATCTCTGGGAAGTGCTGAACAGTCAATCAACCTGACTGCCACAACACAATCCCACGTCTGCCTAGATCCTACCAGGAATCATTCAGAAAAAAACACCACAATCCCTTTAAAAAAGATTAACATCCTATCCACTATTATGAACAATGAAATGAAGGCATGGCTGTATCAGTCCCTGGATATTAGAGACAAGACAAGAGAGGTCATCTCTTATATTAAACCAGCTTCAGCTAATGAGATAAGTATGAGCCCCGGGCCACTTGCTTCTCTCTCTCACCAACAGAAGTTGGTCCAATGAAAGAGATGATCACTCTCGTGAACAACGAAAAACAACGAAAGACAGACAGTCATCATTCCACACTGGAAAGCCTTAGGGGAGGGAAATGGTGCCTAGCTTGACAGAAATCCATTTACAGAAAACAGCTGGAATAGATCATTGTGCTTGACCTCCATATATGTTTACAGAGAACATTCAGAGTACAGCTGGGAAAAGAGAAGACACGTTTAACCTTTTCAGAGTTCTAACAGGAAAAGAATAGCCTGCAGAGATTAGCTCAATTTCAGATGTGGGGGAGGGACATTCCATGGCTGAGAACTTGCATAAAAAGGTTTCAAAATAAATTGTAATCTGTTACCAACAAGTGTATTCTTCCAGGAGTCCTTAAGAGGAACCCATTTAACTTAAATAAATAGAGCTGATAAAAAAATGTCACCCCCACAATAAAATTTTAAAACAAAAAAGTTATTGAATATGACATTTTCCTGGTTAATATTTTGGCAAAGCCTCATCTTTTAGCAGAAAAACTTCTCAGTTGAAAAATTCGGATCACTTTAACATTTTAAAAAAAATTGTGATAGTTACAGAGATACTAGTGAGGATAAAATACCAGACCACCTCTCTTGTACTGCTTACCTGTTGACTGGGGAACTGACACAGCACCGAGGTGATGTTACTAGCATATTGTGCCATTACTTTTCGAATAGATTTCTCCACGGAGGGCGGGATTCTGCCAGACACGCTCGTCATGATTTCCTGCAGCTCCAGAAGAGGCAGGGAAGGGTCCTGGAGGGTCTCCATCAGCACACCCACCCATTCTTTCATCTATGCAAAATAAAGATTGTGACTACACAGATCTTGAAAAACAACATCAGAGATAGAGGTCACAGGAATCACAAAGCAACAGATCTTGCCTTCCCAATGAAAACTCTGCTTGCAGCCCCATAACGAACAGGTCAGGTGGACTACCGCAATGGAATGAAGGATGGTTTATCAACTGTGGCACTGGGCTGGGAGTTGCACTGAACCAGGTAAAGTCACAGTACAAGTGGTGACAGCTCAGCATGTCTCATGAATCATGCTCGTGAGAGTCCTTGTCGATCCAATGGGGATGATACCTTCCTACCTATCTACAAAGCAGGCGTGCCATGAACCTTAACTTACAGCTTGTGAAGGACTGTAAGATCCCTGGATGTATGAAAGGCTCAAACGATTTGCCATAGCCAAAATGTTTCACATTCAGGGACTCTCAGTGAAGTGCAGGCAGTCCCCGGGTTACGTACAAGATAGGGACTGTAGATTTGTTCTTAAGCTGAATCTGTATGCAAGTCAGAACTGGCATCCAGATTCAGCCG